TGTATGTGTGTGTATGTGTGTATATATATATATATATATTATATATATATATGAGTGGTGTTGCATGTGAGGCTAATTTTCTTAATTGTACTTATGTAAAGCTAGTGGCTGAGTGATGTAACTCTTGATTTGCCCCAGTGCAGCAAAGAAGTAGACCCAGTGCATTTGTAAGTGTATCTGTTCCAGGTTGATAACAATCACTATTAAACAACTGTTCTTCTAACTTCTGTGCATATTCTAATAATACTTTACCAGTAATAAGGCATGATCCACACCCAGTATATTCAGTTAAAGTTTTCCATTGACTTCAATGCAACTGGATAAGACAAAAATTTACAGAAGCATTTGTTTAAAAGCTGTGGCTTGCAGGTTTGCTTACTCAAAGGGAGAGCTGAACTGGTGCTGCTCACAGCATTTGTGCATTCCAGCTGGACACTCCTAGAATTAGGGTGTCAGATCAGCCCTTAAGACTGTTATTGTAGATGTCCTTCTTGGACAGGAAGATTTTGTTGTGTTATGCTAAAATGATGGAAATAGGAGATTTGAAATGCAGCTTATAAATAAGGGGATGGCTTAAAATCTGTTAGCGGGATAAAGGAGGACAGCAGGGTAGGTGACAGATCTTGCTCTTTATCAAGAAATCTTATCTTTCTGCTTCCTTTCACCATTATCCCATAAAATGAAAATTAAGTAGATGATATATCGATGAAAGACTTGATTTTCAGCTATGGCCTACAATTTTATGGGTGCACCTGATAGCAGAGAGACTTGCATCACGAATGAGAGATATAAGCTAGGTAGCATAACATCCAAATGCTATGAATTGCACCTAGAATTTCTTCATTGTAATTGCAAAATTAAAGGCCACATTGAATCCCAGCTAAAAATCGGGCCATAAGCTATAACTGTTAAGCTTAGCTTGAAATCTTTTGTTTAGCCTGAAAAGATTGTCTCTGTTATTGTCAAGGATGTTTAAAGCCAAACCAGAATTTCAGAGAAGCAAACTTCCAGCCCAAAGCCTTGCCCTGTGTCACTTTCTTAACATAAATGCTATGAATTTATTCTGTGACATTTTGGTAGTTTCCTTTATTAAATAGGAATACTATCCGTCCAGGACACAGTTGTGGCTAATCACTCGGAACAGGGGCAGCCAGCCAGTAGCACATGCTGCAAATGGCATGGGCAGCCTCTCTCTGTGGTGCACAGCAGACTGAGGATGGGGCAGGTAGGACAACAGCAGGGAGCAGAAGTCCAAAGATCAGATTAGGCAGGCTGCACAGGGCAGGGAGCAGAAAGCAGAGCAGAATATGAGACAGGGAAAGGGGATCGGAGTGGCACTTTGGGATGGCAAGGGGTTTAATTTGTGCCAAAACGGTTTGCTACCAGTCCATGGACCAAATCCAGCCTGCTTTGTAGTGTCTTCAGATCAGGCCTGGAGACCTTGTGCCGCACTACAGTCAGCCACCTGAGGCTCCAGTAAAAGGGGAGTTCTGCCTGAGCCATGCCACACCACAGTTGGGAGGTATGGGCTCTGGTGGAGGGGACCTTTGCCATACCACTTTGGTCCCTGGGGAGAAATGGTGGCAGAGGCTGCGCTCTACTGCCTGCCTGCTTTCTGACCTGAGCTGGGTCATTCCAGTCCCTCCCCCTCCAGAAAACATTGTTGACCCCTGACTTCAGGCATCTTAGCCACATGCAGTCTAAGGTATTAGAAACGCTGCAAGGGTTTTAAGTACTGTAGGTACTGTTAGGATAGAAATGTAAGCAGGAGTTGACAGAGAATTTTTTTTATGACTTAGCTGCTTCAAACTCTCAGAACTCTAATTCATACGTGGTTTTGCTTGTACTGTACTTTTTAATGGAGATTGTATACAAGTAATCCAAAAATGAACCTCTTGGTTTGGGGCAAATACTCATTGAGAGAGGTTTAGTAAGTATTCTTGATCTGTTTACTCATTCTGCTTATTTCCACCAAATTCCCAAACGTAGCAGATACTACTGGAAGCGTGTTTATATACTCTGTGAAGCTGTCTTAACATCTTTACACCATGGGTCAAAAAGGACTCATGTCAGTATCTACTGTGACAATTTAATTTTAGGATTATAGTAAAACATTCAATAATAAGAGAAGCTTGCTTGTTTCCCTGTATGTACCCTATAGCAGTATTACCAGATTGCTGAAGGCATTGGTATCCCTTGCAGTACCATCTGGTGGCAGTGGCAAAACAGTGTAGTTGGTAGGTTACACTGTTAAAGACACAGCCCCAATAAAATCAGTGGTTGTATAATGGTTTTCAGGATGTCTGCATAGTGCATAGTTTGTCAAATAACTTTAAATCCAAGCTTTTTTCTGTTTTTTAAATGCTCAAAATGTAATATGTTTATGTATATATAAATATATACTAGCACTAAACATACAACAGTAGCATTTTAAAGGTCCTGTTATGATCTAGCAAATTTCAAAATATTTCTAGATGCTAAATAATTATTAATGATTTTGAATAAACATGTATTTAACTTACGCATTAATAGTTAACGAAGAGCAATAGGGGCACCAAGTAATTTTTTCTTACCCTGAGAAGGAAGTATCCTTTTATTTCAGTATTTTTCTGTCTTTTAGATATTGCCTTTGGTCCTGTTTTATCTAGGTGGTGGTTCACATTGTTTTGTCATTTGCTTGGCAGTGGGGCTGGGCGTGGGCAGCTTGAATTTAAAGGTTTTCCAAAGTTTGAAAACTCCATCAGATGAAACTCACACTTAAAATACCCTTCACAGGTGAAATAGCCAAGTTTTTGGCATGCGTTTATGATTTAGCTTATGATGAAAAGCCAAAGTATGAGGTGCTAAAGAAAATCCTGGTGGATGGACTCAAGTCAAGTGGAAGGTACTATGATGGCCCTCTGGAAATTTCCACTGCTAAATGCTCACTAAGTCAGCCTGCTTCTAAAGGTGTAAAAGTAAGTAATACAATTCTGTGATTATTTTCTGAAACCTATTATTTGATAGTTGCTTTTTCTTTTGTAAAAGAGGAAACAGTTTAATATCTCAAAATGAGACTGACACAGCAGTTCTGTTGCCTTAAATACATCACATTTGTTAATTCCTGTTTCCCCTGGCTTTGCTAAAAAGTGGGATGTCAACCCTTAAGGAGGAAAAACTGTCACGAGTCCTTTTGACCTACAGCCTCTCACTTCAAAGTAGTAGGTCTGTGGAGAATCATTTACTTTCAGGATAATGGGGAAGTCAAGGACTTTGTTCGCTAACATCTTGAAGGCAAGCTTGAATGCCAGGTTTTTCTTTTTGGCCAGATTAAAAGCAAAGTTGCTTTTTCTTAGTAAAAGCATTTAATTCACTTTCTCTCCCTCAAACTTGTGCCGTTTGCTTTTGCATTTCTCCAGCCACCAGTCTGGGTGGGATGCTATTCTGAGACTTAAATAGCTTATTTGTATGCAGTGCTATATGATGCTCTTTCTAGCACAAAGTTTAAAACTGACAGCTATCATGTTTATATATTTTTCCTTTGTATTTTTAAGTCTGAATCTATACAGTTAATAAAACCTTTTATGTTTTAATAAACTTGGGACCAGTGCAATTAGCAGTCTTACTGGACATGATATGAAATGTCATTCCTACAGTCTATCTCCCTTTAAACTACCCATATGCAAAAGCCCTATTTCTTCTCTGATGGGTGTGCAATAAGTTAGGGTCAGGGTACCATTCATTTTTAATATTTCATGTGAACTTTGGACCATTGTAAGTGTACATGAGCCAAGAATGCAGGATGCAAACTAATGTGACTGATAGGCTGCTAGATGAATGGTGATTCAAGTATCAGTGCACAGATGGTTCTGATTTGCTGAGTTTTGTAGCTGCTGCAACTGAAGACATAAAATATCTTTCTAGTCATAAATTAGCTCTTTGGAAGCAAAACCTTGGCACCAGAGCTTTACAACCTTCAATTAGTAGGGAAAGAAGTATTTGAATGACTGTGGTATTGACATCTGTAGGCCTGCATAGTAATCATTCCTAATAGAAGAGAATATCTGTTTGAGGGGGTTTTGCATGGCTAATTAACCACCAGTGAGAATATGTAATTTTTTCATGATCTCCTGATTGTCACCTTTCTCTCATGATACAATTACATTTTATTGTAGCAAGTGGCTCACAAACCAATTGTCAGCACTATTTACGTATTGCAGAAGGCAGAACAAAAGTTCATGTTTAATAAAAAGCCACTGGATTTTGATCTTGGTAATTACAGAGACTTATTTTAGGAGTTTTATTGACTTTTGTCTTTTTATCACTTTTTTTACAACAAAACAAAAAGCTATTTCAGAGAGTATTTCTCTTGCAATAATGGTCACCACTTAATCTATGCTAATTTGAGAAGCTTATTTCAATTTTTAGTTCATAGAGTTTTCTAAACTTAATTGAAATATAAAACAGCAGTTGTTAAAAAAATTGTATCTACTATCTCCTTTACTGATCTTATGTTTAGATCTCTGCTTCACAAGAATTTTAGACTTCTAAGTATCGGGCATTGAATAGCAAAGGTAAAGTGTGGTCCTTCACACGTTCTTTTCATTTAGGGGCACAGCAGAAGGCAGACCCCTTCTAACAGAATGGAAGCTGAACCCATGATGTGAAGCTTACTCAATCCTGTCAGTTTAAAATAGGTATTCAGAAATTAATTGCAACAGAGGAATAGTAGGTCACAGGAAAACCAAATCAAATATATAAACATAAGAAACATTATCTTGCTGCAATTTATATATAATTTCAAACCAAAGCAATGCAAGATTAAAAAGGCAAATTTATTCTGACACTTAATATGGGGTTTTTCACGTTTCATTCTCCATGTCCATATTCAATTTAAGTTAATCAGCGATTTTTTTTCTCTCTATATAAAATTTTAGGTTACTATGAAAAACTGAATATCCAGATAGTTGGATGCATGAAGATTTATTTTGCAAATCTGCTATGCAGTTAGATGGTGTAAGGGGTTTTTGTTAATGTTTCTCTTTCAGCTGAAAGTGCAAAATACTCAGTTTTATGTTTAGCCTAAAACTTAACTTGGATATTAAAGTGGCATGAAAGACGGCATGAAAGACATTACTGAACTTGTTTGCATTGTGGGAGATTGAAGAGTTACTACAGCACTTGCTATTTGCAAGTGCACAACCCCATTAAAAGTCCATGAATGAGGAGTGTCAATTACCACTGCTGCTGTTACTTGGACAGAAGCAGAATTATTTTTAATGGCCAGTAACAAGGTCAGAAAGAGAGAGTTGTGCTGTTTGCAGATTATTTGATCTTAATAACAACTTCACTTAAATTTTCAGAGAGATTTCTAATACTTACTGCCTTGCATTAGAATAATATGCGTGCTTGCACTGTTTCAAACTACATCTCCCTTCACTTTCTCTAGCATTAGATAAAGTTTAATTCATTGCAAAACTGGACATAAGACAGAAGCTTATTTCCTGAATGGCTAAAGGAGGCTTCTGCTCTTCTTTGTTAAAGCTGAGGGAATGCTATAGTTTACTGGAGCTGCTTTATAGTTGGCTTAAGTGAGCATTGAATATAAGCAGAGGGCATAAGATATTTTATAGACTTAAATATATTCCTCTATTACTGGAAAAATAGGTTTCAAGCTGCAGTTGCTATGGCTTACCTAGTTGCTTTTTGTGTTTGGAGACCTAAAGGCAGAACCACATCTGGGAGAGATTTTTGTTCCTAGAGGGCCAGAAGGAACTTCTGTCAGGGCTAATATACTTTGGCTTCACTGCTGACAGAGTGGACTTGTTTGGCTTTGGAAAAGACTGTATTTTCCACAGCCTTCCAACTTCTACCATTTTTTCTCACCTCTTCCCTTCTGCATGTTCCTGTTGCACCTTTCTTCTGTTTAATATGAGCATCTCACTTCCTTAAAAACATAACCTACACAT